TATTTTTTTCTTCACCAACTTCTGACCACAAGCATCTGTGGAGGGTTTATTCTGGTGACGAGGTCCAAATGTGCTTCGCTCTTTCAGAGTTCACACGTTCCTCTCCAATTTGTCGTTTCATTTCCAGAAGAGGGGTGGGGGCTTCTCWTCTACGAACCTTTTCAAAATACTCAGTGGCGTGTACATGTACGTGTCAGTTTATATCTGAGAGCCTGCAGGTCGGACTCAGTGCTGAGGAGTTTTAATGTGTTTTGGTCGTTTTATAAACTCTTCTATAATCACAGTCATATTAAAGTTAAACATTTAATTGAGGAAACAGCTTGAGTTGAGGAGATTTTCTGTCTTCTGATTAGAAATTATTAAAATTCGTAGTTTCCTGCATGCATGGCATTGCACAGGTCAGAGGTTATTCGATATAAACAAACCCTTAATAAATGTGCCGGAGACGACCATCTTTTTTCAGTTTGATGTTTTCTGAGAATTATGTCAGGAAAAACACAGAGTGTCAATAAATCAAACTTTTTACAAGCAGTTTTATAAGTAAAAATATGATTTTGTAACTTTAGCTTTATTGTAATTTTATACATTTACCAATGAAATATAATGACCGTTTTCATCGCTGTTTACTCTCAGKTCATTTTGAATTTATTCTTCTTATCTGCTCTGACCCACGTAGACGAACTGAGCAAACCATGAGATATTCAAAATATTTGATTATTTTAGTGCATACAGTGTCTACTTTACTAATTCACTGGTTCCAAACATATTTTCCTCAGACTTTTTCTTTACTTACTAATCTGAGCCTCTCTCTMCCAAAGACACATTCAACCTTTATCTCTTTATCGAAAGAATAAAATAAATAGTTACAAACTTTTATTTGTAAAAGGAAAAAAAGAAGAGATTTTGTTTTGATGATTTCTATACACAATCAATAAATTGATATTTTCACAACCTCTGATCAGACATGGTTAATGGCCTCCATGTGCTCTTTGACAGTGTTGTATAAAGTACCACAAAAAATGATACTTGAGTAAAAGTACAAGCATCTTACCACAAAATTACTTTGGTAAAAGTTAAAGTCTCCTTTAGGAATATTACTTGAGTAAAAGTCTTAGAGTATCTGATATTGTTTCAGTTTATATACATATATCAAGGCTGCACAAAACTTTTCCCCAAAATGAAAATCTATCTGAGGGCTGCGGCCAAATGTAATAATATAATTCATGAAATACAAATACTTCTACACACAGTACTACATACAGTACTTTTATTTTAATGATTATGTCCTGCTGGAGTGTGACATGATTTGTTTGTGTACAAACTAATACGGTATCAGAGTTTTATATATTTATACTTCTCATCCAACCACAGTTAAATTCACTCTATCTAGGAAGCACAGTTTATATGAATAATATTTATTTTTTACAATAACAAGCTGGAAGGAAAACAAGCAAAAATGAAATAAAAATAACGACTTTCTACTTCTTGTCTTTTTTAAAATGTAAGAAGTAGAAGTAAAAAGTAGGCTGAAATATAGTTACTCAAGTAAAGTACAGATACCCAAAAATTCTACTTAAGTATAGTAAGAAAGTATTTGTACTTAGTTATTTTACAGCTCTGCTCTTTGGCGCCCCATGTTGGGAAGCACTGTTGAACTAAATATCCAGCAGATAGTTGGGAATTCTGCCCAATTTACACAATATATCCTGTCAACCACTGCTACATCAACTCTACCAAATCAACTCTGATTARATCAGAGGTCTTTTAGCTGTTTACCTGCTTCAACACACCTGATTCAAATATGCATTTACCTCTTTAGCCTGTCAATCACTCATTATTTTAAGCAGGTGTGTTGAAGCAGGGAAACATCTAAAACATGCAGGACAGTGGGTCACGAGGACCAGGGTTGAGAACCTCGTCATGAGGACCAGGGTTGAGAACCTCTGGTTCAGAGCAAACACATCGTGTATATTGGAATCTATCTAAAGCCTGTCCTGTTTGTTTCCTGCAGCTACAGCCTGAGCGGAGGACACGGACAGTTCTCCATCAACCCAGCCACCGGACAGATTATCACCAGCTCCCTGCTGGACCGAGAGGATCGGGCCAATTACCAGCTGCTGGTCGTCGCAACAGATGGAGGGCAGCCCGAGGGCTTGTCCAGCTCAGCCACGGTGTCCGTGACGGTGGCCGACATCAACGACAACCCTCCGCGCTTCCACCACCACCCGTATGTGACGCACATCCCCGCCTCCACGGCGGCAGGTTGGTAAACAAACCCTGAATGGTCCTCTGATCCTAGACATGGTTTGTATAGAAAAGTTAAATGAAATGTTCTTTGTACTTTCAGGGTCCTTGGTCTTTGCCGTGACCGTCACCGACGAGGACTCTGGTTCCAACGCCCAACTGCACTACTCCCTAATGGGGCGCAACTCCGAGCGGTTCAGGATCGACCCTGTGAGAGGCGCCATCACAGCCAACGAGAGGCTGACCGGGAGCTCAGAGGTTACCCTCACGGTCCAAGTGAAAGACGGCGGAGCCAACCCCAAAACGGACATGACCACAGTGACCGTACGTTTCGTCACTGGAGGAAACTTCCCTGTCATCAAACTGAAGGAGCGGGCATTCACGTTTCCTGAGAACCAACCCAACAACCATGTTGTCACGGTGGTGACGGGCTCCTCCAGGAGAGGCGGACCATTGTCATATTACATCGCCAGCGGCAACTTGGATTACGCCTTTCACATTGACCAGCTAACAGGAGAGTTGTCCATCAGGCACCCGCTGGATTACGAGCACATTCAGAAGTACGTGCTATGGATTGAGGCCAGAGACCAGGGCTTCCCGCCGTATTCCTCCTACGAGAAAATAGAAATAACTCTACTGGATGTGAACGATAACCACCCGGTGTTCGACAAGGATCCCTTTCATGCCGAGATACTGGAGAACCTTTCGCCTCAGCGCGTTCTGATGGTGTCCGCCGTCGACCTGGACAGCGGTGCTAATGGACAGCTGGAATACGCCATCACAGACGGCAACAAGGAGAACAGCTTCAGCATCAATCGAGCCACGGGTGAAATACGGACCACCAGGCCACTAGACCGAGAGAAGGTGGCGATGTACACTTTGAAAGTGAAAGCCACCGACCGTGGCTCGCCTCCAAAGAACGCATCAGTCAAAGTCCTCGTCAATGTGTTGGACCTCAACGACAATGCTCCCAGGTTTTCTAAGATATTCAGTGCCACGGTGGCTGAAAACGCTCCTGTTGGTTACACCGTCACCAGAGTCACAACCACAGACGAGGACGCCGGTTCAAACGCCGTCAGCCGGTATTCCATCACGGATACCAGCCTTCCATTCAATATCAATGCAAACACGGGAGACATTACGATCAGCAGGCCGCTCAACAGGGAAGACACCGACCATTACATCGTCAAAGTGACGGCCCACGACTCAGGCTGGACCGTGAGCACCGACGTCACCGTATTCATCACAGACGTCAACGATAACGCTCCCAGATTTAGTCGTCCGTCTTACTTCTTGGACTACCCTGAGCTCACCGAGGTGGGCTCCCTGGTCACGCGGGTGTCCGCTGCCGATCCCGACGAGGGCGTCAACGGCAAAATCTTCTACTTCATCCGATCCCAGTCCGAGTACTTCAGAATCAACGCCAGCACCGGAGAGGTGTTTGTGAAGCAGCAGCTGAAATACCAGAACTCCACGGGCGCCAGCAGCTTGAACATAAACCGCCACAGCTTCATCGTCACTGCCTCGGACCGAGCCGTCAAGCCTTTAATGAGCGAGACCACGGTCATCGTGAACATCGTAGACAGCAACGATAACCCCCCTCAGTTTGACTCGCCTGGCTATTTCACCCCGGTCACGAAAAGTGTCAAAGTCGGCACCAGGCTGATAAGAGTTGTCGCTCAGGACAAACAAGACTTTGGCCTTAATTCTGAGGTGGAGTACCAAATAACAGGCGGGAACAGTTCTGGTAAATTCAAACTGGACAAAACAAGTGGCTGGGTTAGTGTTGCTGCTTCACTCATATCTGACATAAACAAAATGTTCCTCATTGACGTTACCGCGAGCGACAGAGGAAATCCTCCTCTGTCAGCGCAGACCACAGTCAGGATCGCCGTCACGGAGGAAAACCACCACACGCCTGAGTTCTCACAAAGCCAAATCACAGCTACTGTACCTGAAAGCCTTGCTGTAGGAACAGCAATAAGGACTCTGTCYGCCAGAGACAAGGATAAAGAAATGAACGGCCTCATCACCTATAACATCACTTCAGGCAACGACAAAGGTTTGTTTGCATTAAACAGCAAAACTGGAGTTTTATCTTTAGCTCAGCTGCTGGACTTTGAAGAGAAGCAGCAACACGAGCTCAGAGTTTCTGCCACAGACGGCGGCTGGATCGCAAAAACCAGCTACGTCTCCGTCACCATCCACGTGACCGACGTGAACGACAACTCTCCCGTCTTTGATCCCGAGGAGTACTTCCCTGTCGTGCAGGAGAACGTTCCCAGTGGCACGACCGTGCTCAAAATGAGCGCCACGGATCGCGACTCAGGAGCCAATGCCGTCATGGCCTACGTGATCCAGTCCTCCGACAGCGACCTCTTCGTTATCGACCCCAACACCGGCACCGTCACCACCCAGGGGTTCCTGGACTACGAAGCAAAGCAGGTCTACCACCTAACGGTGAAGGCCTTCAACGTCCCGGACGAGGAGCGCTGCAGCTTCGCCAACATCAACATCCAGCTGAAGGGAGCCAATGAGTACGTTCCCCGCTTTGTGTCCAAGCAGTACTACTTTGAGATCTCTGAAGCTGCTCCAAAAGGTACAGTTGTCGGGGAAGTATTCGCCAGCGATCGAGACCAGGGAGAGGACGGAGTCGTCCACTACCTCATCTTTGGAACGAGCAGAAAGAAAGGCTTCGGCATCAACCGGAGAACCGGTCAGATTTATGTTACAGGAACTCTTGATCGTGAGAAAGAGGAAAAGATCTCCCTGAAAGTTTTGGCCAAGAACGCAGGAAGCATCCGTGGGGCAGATATCGATGAGGTGTATGTGAATATCACCGTCCTCGACGCCAACGACCCACCCGTTTTCACCCAGGACCTGTACGACGTGCAGGTCAGCGAAGGTCTGTCGCCTGGCAGCCTTGTCACCTTCGTGAGCGCTGAGGACTCGGACTCTGTCCCCAGCTGGAGCAGGTTTTCTTACTCCATCGCTCCTGAATTCGACAAAAATGTTTTCACGATAAATGCCAAAACGGGCCAGCTGTCCGTGGCCGCGGAGCTGGACCGTGAGACGACTCCAATGTACAATCTGACCATTCTGGCCGTAGACACCGGCTCCCCTCCCGCCACTGGAAGCACCACCGTCATCGTAAACTTAGAAGACATCAACGATAATGGCCCGACCTTGACAACTACGTATGCAGAGGTAATGGAGAACCAGAGAGCCGGATCTACAGTTACAACCCTGACAGCCTCCGACCCGGATTTACCCCCCAACCAAGGCCCGTTTCTGTACAGCCTCCTGAGTTCTGGCTCTGCCAACAGCTACTTCAGCCTCAGTTCAGCCGGGGCATTAACCACCAGCCGGGAGATAGATAGAGAACAGATTAGCGACTTCTACCTCTACGTTGTGATTAAGGACTCCGGCGTGCCTCAGATGTCCTCCACAGGAACCGTTCACGTCAAAGTAAACGACCAGAACGACAACCCCTCGGAGCCGCGGTCCATGGAAATACTGGTGCACTACTTCGGCAACACGTTTCCTGGAGGCTCATTAGGAGATGTCAAACCTCAAGACCCTGACATCCACGACCGGTTCCACTGCTCCCTGATCCCGCCCTCGTCCGGTCTGTTTACCATCCCGACCGGAACCTGCAACCTCAGCTCCAAGCCCCGGTCGGCGGACGGAACGTTCGAGCTGACGGTCCGCAGCAGCGACGGCCTCCACGGTTCAGTCAGCAACACGGCCAGAGTTGTTTTCATGGGCTTCAACAACGCCACCGTGGACAACAGCATCCTCATCCGGATCCACTCTGACGGGGTGCGAAGCTTCCTCACCAACCACTACCTCAGCTTCCTGCGCATCGCCAACTCTCAGCTGGCGGGGCTCGGGACCGGGGTGCTGCTGTACGGCGCGTTCGAGCTCAACAACCAGACATTCCTGATGGCGGCCGTGAAGCGGGGCCATGGGCAGTATGTGAGCCCCAGCGGCGTGGCCACATTCTTCCAGAGCATCAAAGACGTCCTGCACAGACAGAGCGGCGTGCAAATAGACGCCGTGGACTACGACCCCTGCGTGCGTAGCCCCTGCCAGAACGGCGGCAGCTGCAAGCGGCGCCTCACCGTCGGCCTTGACATGAAGACGGAGGAGAGCGTCCCCGTGATCCTCGTCTCCAACCACCCGCTGCAGCCGTACGCCTGCAGCTGCAGGCCGGGCTACGCCGGGGCGCTGTGCGAGACCGACGTGGACGAGTGCCTTCCATCGCCCTGCCACAACGCCGGCACCTGCCACAACCTGGTGGGCGGGTTCTCCTGCACCTGTCCCGAGGGCTTCACCGGGATGGCCTGCGAGAGGGACGTCAACGAGTGCCTCTCCAACCCCTGCAAGAATGGGGCGCTGTGCCAGAACTTCCCCGGCGGCTTCAACTGTCTCTGCAAATCTGGATTTACAGGTACGACACACGCCAGGAGCCGTTTCTTTTGTTTTTCTTTTCGTTTAAACTGGAAAAATGATGTCAGGGCCGCTCGCACAGATGATAACACAGTCACGCACAAACGTCGAGCCAAGGAAAATATTTGCTCCTGGATATTTCCAGGAGCCGAGCTGCCAAGAAAACAGTCTGGACTTCAGGTTGCTTGTTGTGGGGTATCAGCTGGGATCCGCATCAGCCCGCTGAGTTTGTTTTAATAAAAAAGGATGATCAGAAGCTGCTTCACGGTTCAGTCCCGTCCTTTGTGCGGCTCCGGCCACACACAGCCTCCTTTCTCAGTCGTGGATTTCTCATTTGGCTCCGTTTTCATCTGGTTTGACAAACGAGCGGCTTTATAAAAGATCCAATCAGGTTATGAACACACAGCGTTATTGGCTCCGATAAAAGAGGAGTGGATTTTAAGTGGAAATACTTAGAACAATCATGTGGACCCTGTGTAATATTCAAGGTCTGGCTTCAGCATCTGAAAGACATTTTGAAAGCACGCTGCAGAGGGCAATTAGCCTGAAGTCGAGTCATTACTGTCCCTTTTTATTACCGGGATAAAAAATGGCCTCAAACTTTTAGGTTTTTATCAAGATGAATTGCCCCGCTGCAGAAACGCACCTACTGACTTACAGTAGTTTTCATGAACTCGCTCTGAACCGCACAGCTTCCTGTTTTCCACGACTGTTTCTCTCTGGCAGCTGAATCCATCTCCATTAAGCAGCTCATCTCGTTTACTTCTTTATTTGTTCGCCGAAGTTCATTGTCAGTTTGTTTCTGTTTCACCACGCGCCGTTCATGTCTGCTGTTTATYGAGATGTTAAAACTTTAGCATGTTTCTGTCTGCATTTCAGCTGTTTCTGCACTGCAAAAAAAAACAGCAACACAGTTTGATTTAAGTTTGGGGTTCTATCAGATCGTTTTACAACAAACTCTTCAGCTTTAGACTCAAAGATTAACAGTGGACAGAAAAAGGTTTTAATTCAAAACAAATAAATTCATTTAAATTCAAACCTACAATAAAGTTTCTCGATTTAAACAAGATAAAAGCTTGATTATTCAGTTATTTAACTATTATTTGCCTTTATTCTGTTGAATGATTGAGTTTGTTTCGGCATTTGAAACCCTGGAGTTAGAAAAATTCATCCTAATGCAAAGAACCAGCTGATATTTGGTGTTTAGGTGCTTTAAAACACAAACTATCAGTTTATTAAGCTCTTTTAAAAATAATAATTCTATGTAGAAAAGAAACAGCATGTATTGACCAGAACAAAAATTCAATTTATCATTTTTCTCACAAATCAAAGTAAAAACTGAGATCTTATACATGGCTTTTTTAAAGTTTAAACCCTAAATATTCTCCTAAACATTCTTATTTTAGTATAAGTAAAGTAAATACAATAATTTAATGTGAAGTAATTTAATAAAAGTACAATAAAACTTATCAGTAATGAGATTGATTGATTGATTGATTGATTGATTGATTAGCAGTGCAGTAAAGGAGAAATTTTGAAGATAAGAAAAATAATGAAGATAATTTTATGGTAAACTTAAGTAAATTATATTTGTAATAATTAACGTTAAAATGCATAAAAAATAATATAGTGCCACAAAAACAAAACAAAAAAAAAATTCGGATAACTTTTGCATTTATTTGCGAACATTCCACGTTTGACAAACGTTCGAGTTCATCGACAAGGTTGTAAAATCAAGTCACATTTAAAATACTTAGTAAAGTTGTTTATTGGTAGCTTAGAAGCCTCTTTAATTTAAATGTAATTTAAAGAATACTTTAAAAAGTGGGCGGTTCCTAGTCATGCCCCGCCCATACTTTGTCCCAGCCCTTTTTACGGGTTCATTGATGAGTTTTTAAAACCAAAAGTACAGTTTAAATTATTTAAGAAAGTTGTTTAATTTGAAGTCAAGAACAATTTTATTTTAATGTAATTTAATTAAAAATGCTAAAAAGTGGGCGGTCCTTTATCACACCACGCCCATTTATCGCGCCCCCTTTTCGGTTTCATCGACAAGGTTTTAAAACTAAAAGTAATGTTTGAATTTTTTCAGAATGCTGTTTAATTTGTAGTCAAGAACAATCTTTATTTTAATCTAATTTTATTTTAAGTGCAAAAAAGTGGATGATTCTACGTCATATCAGGCTCATACTTAGTCCCGCCCCTTTTTTTTAAATGAGCTATAATTTGGAAATGTTTCTTATTTAATTTTTTATTTTTTGCAGTGCATATCTCAGCTATGATGGTTTAACCATCCTGCTGCCCTCAGGTCCAAACGACCCAAAAAGATCCCTGTTTAAAATAAAACCTTCACGGATGGTTTGGCCCCGAGGGCAGCAGGACGGTTTAAAATGGCTCCTCTTCATGGTCTCACTGTGTTCGTTTGCCACCCCATCCATTTGATTTGTGTTGTTCTGTGAACTCAGGCAGAACCTGTGACTCCATCATCAATCACTGTGAGTGTAACCCCTGTTTTAACGGAGGGTCGTGTCAGAACCGGATGGATGGATATTTCTGTCACTGTCCGTTCGGTGAGTAATCTTAGCAAACTGTTCGAAGGCTGACCCCACCTGTCATTTCATACCGGCCTCTGTTTGTTTACATAAAATGACATGGAACTACCGTAGACGTGTGTGTTTCAAGGATCGAGGTAGCTGCGGTCCAACGTCTTTGGTTTTGTCCTCAGGGGTTTTCGGCAAACACTGTGAACTCAACAGCTACGGCTTCGAGGAGCTCTCCTACATGGAGTTTCCCTCCCTGGACCCCAACAACAACTACATCTACATCAAGTTCGCCACCCTGCAGAGCGACGCGCTGCTCATGTACAACCACGACAACCAGACCGGAGACAAGGCCGAGTTCCTGGCTCTGGAGATCATCGAGGGGCGGCTGCGCTTCTCCTTCAACCTGGGCGGCGGCACCTACAAACTGATGACCGCCATCAAGGTTTCTGATGGACATTTTCACACCGTCATCGCCAGGAGGGCCGGGATGGTAAGATACACTGCATCCATTCATTCATCTGTTCATCCATTCATTCATCTGTTCATCCATTCATTCATCTATTCATTTATCCATTCAGCCATTCATTCATCTGTTCATCCATTCATTCATCTATTCATTTATCCGTTCAGCCATTCATTCATCTTTTCATCCATTCATTCATGTGTTCATCCATCTGTTCATCCATCCATCCAACAAACCATCCATCCCTTCATCTAATCATCCATTCATTGATCTGTCCATTCATCAATTTATTCATCTGTTCATCCATTCATCTATTCATTCATCCATTCATTCATTCATCTGTTCATCCATTCATTCGTCTGTTCATCCATTCATTCATCTATTCATTCATTCATTCATCTGTTCATTCATCTGTTCATCCATTCATTCATCTGTTCATCCATTCATTCATCTGTTCATCCATTCATTCATCTATTCATTTATCCAT